GCTACTATGTCATGTCACACAACACATGCCCCACAACATCTAGGAAATAAGGATTCTTCTTTGTTTTTCTCCCTTTTTGAGGTCCAGGTAACTTGACTTTAATTCAAACTCAAATGTAAGGCCAAAAACACAACCTAAAGCCTTCATTAGTTCTCTCTAACCACATGCCACACTAATCTTACTTAATTATTCTTGATTAGTCTAATTAATAGGAGGTTAATTTTTAGGATGTTACATTGTGTTCATATTCCTCTAAGCACAACCTCAGGTTGGAGTAAACTCTTAATGATCTTTTCATTACCCTTTATACCTATATAGCATTGGCTCTACTAGCATAAACTTTCCTTACCTTTTGTTAGAACATTAAATGCAAAGAGCCATTACTTTTCTTACTTGCCGTGAGCGCAAAACTCTATCAAAAAGCACTATGCCATCTCTCTTTTCTAGAGAAAGCTAGATGGAAAGAAGATTAGGAGTCTAATGGCTAACCACATGTGTCTAACATATCATTAATGAATATCAACTATAAATAGATGCATATTGAAAAAATTAAAACAAAGTGAAGTTATTAAGCAATCATTATCATTTATTTATTTTTAATAACTTTTCATTATAACATTCATTACAAGTGAGCTTTATTTGTTGCAAATCAACTCTTAGAGAGAGTCTTTGATACAAGATGTTCATTCTTGAACATAATTTGTTCATCCTTATTTTACATGCTCAAAACAAAGGAACCTAAACTCAAGGAGTTTAAGGGTAGCATTATCTTTGTAAGAGAGAATGATTTAGACTTGTGAAGAAGTCTGAGATTGTATAATGGCAACCAAGAGCCTGACTTTATCTTGGTAGAGTGAATAGAGAAAATCTCAAGTGTGACCTAAGGATTAGATGTAGGTTCAAGTGGTTGGATCTGAACTAAAATAAATTATTTAAGCAAGCTTCTCCTCCCTCCTCTCATTTGTGTTTGGTGATTTCATTCTAACCTTATCTCTTTTTAATTTGCATTATTGGTGGTTTTATGTTCTCCTCCCTTTCTAATTAGTCTCTCTTGATATTTGGGTGTCATTTTTTTGGAATCTAAAATGTTGTTGATTTCTAGCCACCAATCTCACTCTAATAGGGTTGTGAGGTATTATTTTTTTTTAGGTAACTAAACTTTAGGTTAGGCTAATGACAATGGTTTAAAGTGTTAATAATGGATTTAAGACAAACTCTAGTAGTGATTAGTCTAGTTAATTAAAGACAACATGGGTAGTTAATGGTGGTTAATAGACTAATGATGAGAGGTTAATTAAGCTAATAGAAGTTAGAAATGTGTATAGTTTTGATACATGACCACATTGTAAGTCTTGGGGCTAGACTTTGATTGGAGGTAATTAATGATGATTAGTCATTAATGTTGTTTGATGGTGCTAATTGTAGATTAATTTCTCTTTAGACCTCTTAAGCTTGTTGGGGACTCCACTTGCTATTCATGGTTACTCTTAATTTGGTAAACCAAGGGTTGAGATAATTGTGAACATAAATTCTTGTATATGCTTGTTATATGTGATTATGAGTTTTGTGAAATGCTTAATGTACATTGTTATATGAAATTAATAAGTTTATGTTTTAGAAAATTATGTGAAGTGTGTGTATGTATTACAGGTATGCTAAGGAAATAGTTAAGTTAGATATTTATTTATTTTCAAGCATGTTGAAATATTGTTGCTATGTTAAACATAAGAATGTATAAATATGTTTTATGAGCATTAATTGGCATGATCATGGAAGCGTGGGAGTTCACCTTAAGGCAAGTAAAGAATTATAAATCCACGTGATAGGCCTCCACGAAGATTAGTGCTTGGTGATTGATAAATTTTTATTATAAGTATTTAGTATTGTTATCATCCTTTGGAAGGTGGCATGGGTCAGGAACATGCTTAGTATTACTACTTTCCTATGGGGGATGATGTGAGTTAGGCCTTATGATACCTTAAGAATTTGGAAAAGGAGGAATCTAAGGTCCAAATGTGAGTATGAGAGCCTTTGGCCAAATAACCCTTCATAATTGGAGTACTTAGGCTAGTTTGATCACATAGGTTAATTCTATTCACATTAATAGCTCATGGATTCAGGCAGAATATATAAGGAAAGTAATAATGCTAGTACATTAACCATGCATATCATGCATTATAAATGTGTATGCTTGAGTATTTGAAAGCCAATATTGTAATATGCCCACTTAGCTTCAGAAGGTTCTTTTGTTTTAGTCCGTTGGAGTGTTTCTATCTAGAAGCACTCTAGAATATTGATCATACCAAAGTTCTTTTTTAATAAGGATTCTGATATGTTCTTTTTGTTATTTTAATATTACGTTTTACATATATGTTCTTCAAAATAGGCACTCTCAAAAACATTCTTTATAATAGTGATGGTCATAATTATCATTCTTGTATGTAGTTGAGTTTATGTTCTTTAGATACTGAGGTTATTATCTCATCCTCCTATAGTTTAATGTTTTTAGGAGAGAATTTGTCTAAAGGAAAAGGAGAGGACTTTGAAGCTAGAGACATGTAAATATAGATTATAATGTCTTTAATTTTATTTTGTGTAATTTGAATACGTACATTGCTAGTATAAGAGGTCATATTTGTATTTATACTTGCATTATAGCCTTGAATATTGAGTTAGGCATTTTTGGTTGTCTTGCATATGGTAGTGTTCAAATCTCTAATTTTGTTTTTTAAAGTGGGTCAAAATAGTAATGCAAGTGTAGTTATATATGTTGAACTTGATCTAAATGCTTGGATTGGATTATGATATGATTTGAGAAAGTTCTTTTTTACTACATCTTGAATGGTAGTTGTTGAGTAATGGTTTGTGATTGCATGATGAGTCTAATGTATGTGAGTGTTTGTATTTGTGTTCTAAGATGCATTGAATGTGGTTTAAGGCTCAAAAAGGATTATTGGCCTCTGCGTTGGTATTTGGGTACTTAGTTGAGTTTTAAAAATATGAAATTGTGAAAATGGTTTTGGGCATCCCAAATCTCCACATGATACAGGATTGAGGTGGAACCATAACCATTATTTAATTTATAATTTTATCTTCATATGGGTGCTTGAATTGCGTTAATCAAAGGTCAAAGTAAAAAGTTGTGCATGTCAAAATTAGTTTGGTTTGCTATTAGACAGTATGCATTGTGACAGATTGTGTGTTGGCCACAACGCATGTCACCAATAAAGTTGGTCACATGCATGGTACATGTCCCTATTGGCTGTGGTGGATCCTCTTTGTGACCCAAGCCATAATAGACTATGTCTTTTTGGATGATTAGACCTTATTTAACCCTGCTTGAACTTTGTTTCAATATAAATCTTCTCCTATGCTTCCCTAAAGGTTTATACTTTGATTTATTAGGGTTAATTGACCTTCTAGACTTGTTTTTACTTTTGAAATGTTTTTGGGATCCCAATTCAACAAGGTTTTTGTACTTAGCCCCTTTGTTTAAATTCTTTAACTATGGTTAAACTTGTTTATCATTTTAACTTTTATTAAGGACTACTTATGTTTTAATTACTTTGGTAGAGTTTTGAATTAGCGATAAAGTATGGTTTAAATGTTGAGATTATAACACCAGACGCTTCTGATCTCATAATTTAGGAGCCAATTTATTCTTTTAACTTTTTTTTTTAAATTTCGGGCACCAATCAATACACGTTTACACATCAATAAATTCAAAATATTTGGTGTCTATGCAGAGTGCGAAATTTGGATTTCTTGAAACGCACTTCAAATGAAATGTGGATCATATAGACGTGAAGCCCACCCTTTTTTCCCTCAATATTATCACTTTCTCTCCACTTCACCTAAGGTATACTTAAGGGAATTGAAATACCTGAAATGACAGAAATACCGATACAAAGATGGAAATTACTTCGACAGCCTACTTCCTTTCTCTCTTTTACTTTTTTATTGGTCTAATAGATTTCTCTTTTACTTTGGATACACTTCACATGCATCAAACATCAAAAGATCTATAACCATTGATAGTATCAACGGTTATGGATATCTTACACGTCCCATTACGTCCCGTTGATACTCTTAATGAATAATAAAAATTAATGATATTTTCATATTTATTATCTTATTAAATATAGACAGACATGAAAAAATTGGAAAATTTTAAATTATGTTAGTTGATTTCTTGGAGAGTGAACGTTAATTAAAAATGCTTTATAATTTATAATTTTAAAGGAAAGGATTCTGTAACAACTAATGGTGTAATCCTAAGGTGTGTTTAGATTTTAATTGAGGAAAATTAATTATATAAAAAAATTGTTTAACAGAATATGATGATATTTAAATAATATTTTCTAAAATTGATTTGGCAAAATTAATTTATCAAATAGAAGAAAAATTAGCTTATGCAAAATGAAGTTTGGAAAAATTGGGAGTTTTTTTTAATGACTTTTTCCAAAACCATAGTTTTGGACATCATAATTGATTCTAAAAATGTTTCCAAACATGCCCTTGAACAAAGTCTGGGCTCCTGCTTGGATACAGCTGACTCTAGTTGATTCTTCAGTGGTACGAGAAACTAAATGACCAATGTGTAACAAGTCCTGATAACATTTGGAATCAACATGCTCCATGGAAAATAGGATGAGCTTTAGCTTGAGGTGAGTAATTTCAGAAAGTAATTGATTACAATACAAAGTCATCATAATTAAGCATGCATTATCAGCTAGTCCTATATATTGTGCCCATACTGTGAATTAGAATGACAATCTACAGTGTCTGTTTAATGAGTTAGCTTTTTCTGTAGCAATGGATGGGCCAACAAATTCTTTCCACTTTGATGTCAGAAACTAGAAAATGGATCGATTGGAAAGGCGCAAAATTAGGGAATAAAGGCATTAAAGCAAACGATGACACACACGAATTCCAAACTCTATATATGTACATAACATGCTTCTTCTTTGTTCAAAGACCATATACAGAGAGACCAAAAATATCAGCAAAAAATGAAAGGTTCATCACTAAGTTGCAGTGTTGTTCTGCAGAAAAACAAGCCCTATATAGCAATGATCTTCATACAGTTTGTGTATGCAGGCATGGCTTTGCTCTCTAAAGCTGCGATCTCCAAGGGAATGAACCCTTATGTGTTTGTTGTCTATAGGCAAGCCTTTGCTTCAATTGCTTTATCACCCTTTGCTTTCTTTGACAGGTTCCCCATCACAGTCCTTTTCTCTTCATTAATTTTCTCACAATCATTGCTTCATCAAGCTTTTCTTTCTCTCTGATCTTTTGGCCATTCTTCTCTTTGATTATTTCCAGTAAGCAGGCTACTTCCTTGTCATACACCTTGCTTTGGAAAATCTTTTTCATTTCCTTATTTGGGTATGTATGTGATCATCATGAACTTTTTTCTGACCCCATCATTTCTTGTTTAATCACTTTCAATGCAGACATGGCCTTAAATATACAGATATTCATTCTTTTCAACATTTTCAGGTTAACACTGAGCTCAAGCCTTTACTATGTTTCAATCAACTATACAACTGCAACTTTTGCTGCTGCATCCACCAACACTGTTCCTGCAATTACTTTCATCATGGCTGTTATATTAAGGTCAAGATTGCTGAATTTCAACGCTTTAACATAGTGAACATGTGTGTATTTATCTATTGTTTTCTGTCATTTCAGAGTGGAAAGCATATCCATAAAACACATGTACGGGGTGTCAAAGATTCTAGGTTCTGTTCTGAGCCTTTCTGGGGCAATCGTATTTGCTTTAGTGAAAGGACCTCCTCTAGAATTCATGAAGTTTTATGCTCAGAATCAGGAGAATCATCACTCATCAATGTCACTAACAAAAGGTCACTCAAAAATGGATTTGATCAAAGGTCCTGTCATGATGCTTTCTGCAAACACTGCATGGTCTTTATGGCTTATATTGCAAGTAAGTAGTAGTACCTCATCATTGATTGCTTTCACTATATTCTATGAATATGTCTTTGATCTTTTTGTTGATGATTCTTACCCATTTCACTTTGGTTTAATTTCAGGGTTTCATTGTAAAACAATACACTGCGAAGTTTCGGCTCACCAATCTGCAATGTTTCTTCAGCTTCATACAGTCTGCTGTTTTAGCTGTTGCACTTGAGAGAGATCCTTCAGCATGGAAGCTCGGATGGGACATAAATCTTCTCTCTGTGGCCTACTGTGTATGTTGATCTTCTCATCATGTTTAAACAAATTTTAAATGTTCACAACTCAACACTCAAATAACATGTAAAAGTTAGGTCCAGACAAAAACTCAAGAGTTTAAAACACACAGTCTATTTCTTCATACAAACCTAGTACAATCATGGTTCCTTTAGTCTCTTTCATTTTTCTGATATCCAAACCTAGGATTTATCATTTGTTATCTCTTGAAAGAGCTTCATCCTTGAACATAAACTATATATAGATATGTAGGATTCAATCCTGTGTTCAAACTGTAAAACCAAGTCATAAGAAAAATCATTTATCACAAGGCCATAAAAGCTAAAAGACCACAAAAAAAAAAAAGGAAAAAAAAACACTTTTCACTAAACTAAAAGCTATAACTGTTCATCAGATAATCACTGGAGATTTTATTATGCCACATAGTCGAATCTAGGCCATGTTCTCTCGGTTTAAAGAAATTGACTCAATATAATCAATATAATAAAACCTCATACTTCCCATGTGGGACACACTCAGTGTGTCTGCTAGCTTCTTGTTAGGATCAAAACATTGAGGACAAGAACTGCTGTGCCCATGATTGTCTCTGTCTCTGATAATTAAAAAGAAAAATATATGTGTGTGTGTGTGTGTGTGTGTGTGTGTGTGTGTGTGTGTGTGTGGACGCAAAGTGATAGGTATATCAAAAGTAGCGTAATGCATCAGGAAGTGGGATTTAATTTGTTTTTGGGGTCCAGAAATGTAGTTGAATCTCCCATGATTCAAACTCCGAAAACCCATGTTTTCCTTTTTGAGAAAATTACAATGAAATCCCCTACAACCATTCAAAGTATCCAACAATCTCATAAAATTTCTAAGTAGCTATTAAGTCCCTAGCAACTTAAAAGTGAACGAGTTAAAAATGATAATAATCAAAATGTCCATAAGTGCTTTATTGACAAAATTGACAATAGCAATTTATTATGAGACAAAGGTTATATTAATAAATGAAGTTGTAGTTATCACTATTAGATGTCTAACTTATCAATAGCTTTTTTTTCTGTGGTGAATTGCAGTTGACAAATTTTCAACAAGCCATCTTATAACATGGTCATTGTTGTTATAATTTTATTCACTTCTATGTCTTTAGGGACTGGATGGATATTTTTGAATTTGGTGGGACCTTAGGTTATTTTGAATTGTTGTGGGGAACTTCTTGGTGATTTCCCTTTCTTTTCTTTTCTTATTTTTTCTTTTTTTTCGTATGGTGAACCATCCACACATTATGCTATCATTTTGTGTTGTGTGAAAAAGCTTACAACTCATGACAGCTTTTTGGCTACTTTCCAATCTGTAAAATCCCTTTTGGTGTAAAATGGGAATGTGAATTAATGGAAATTAAATAAAAATGGAAATTTTCTCTTGCATAAATATATGGGAAATTCTATGCCTAAAAAAGTCAATTTGTCATCTAACAAATATATATAACATATAAAAATAATTTCCATCCCATTTTTCCTTTCTTCAAATACCCTTTTTCATGTGTCAAACACGGCTTCTAGAGTGAACATGAAAGGATGAAATTGTAACAGAACATCATAAGAATATTCACATTATGCTAGCTATTTTCACTTGTTCAATTTCGCACGCATATTTTTATATTATAGTGACTATTATAATATCCAATGTTATTGATTAATTCATATTTGAATATTAATTTTAGGGTTGAATGGCAAATTTACTACTAAATTATATGTCCAGTAGTGTCAAAAATTGTAAACTCATTTTTTGTGCATGTTTACTTTCAACATTTTAAAATAATACAATATTTCCCTAATCATTAATAAATATTAACTTTAACTATTAGTTAATAAAAATTATAAAAAAGAATTTCAAAAATTACAAAAAATGACCAAGAAAATTTTTTGGCCTTTTTCTGTAATGTATTGAGTTATTCTCTGTTATATTTTTTTTTGTCCTTTTATCTAATTTTGTATTTTATAGTTAACTAATAATTAAATTTAATTTTTATTAATGGTAAAAGTGACATTGCATCTTTTTAAAAGATAAAAGAGAATATTACACTAAAAATGAGTTTAGAGTCCTAGATATTCCTAAATGTATTGCTAAAGGGTGAAATTGTCTTTTAAACATTAAATCTACAAGGTTAATTAGAATTTGAAATTTCGGCTTTTCTGCATTTTTTCCCTTTTTTCCTTTTATATACATACATGTATGTATATATATATATATATATGCATGAATAGTTTAATGTTATTTTGCAGGGTTTAATTGTGACAGGGATTTGTTATTGGCTCCAAGTGTGCACTATAGAGACTAAAGGACCCGTTTTTACAGCAATGTTTACCCCTCTGGCTCTTATCATCACAGCAATATTCTCAGCTCTTTTGTGGAAGGAATCACTTTACTGGGGAAGGTACATATTTTTCAATTTGAAACTATTCTAAGCTTAATTAATTAGACATTTTCAATTCAATAATTTTTAATTGATTAGTGAATCATCTCTCACAAATTACAATCCTTAACGTTTTTTTTTTCTCATGTTAATATCACTTTGGTTTGCGGATAGTATTCCTATATGGAGTATTATACATTGATATTAATTTATATGTTATTAAAATTGTATAAATATCGTTTCTTTAAAAAAAAAAATTGTAGGAATCTAACTGGAAGTAACTTGTCCAACATAATTTTTTCTGTCTATAAAGTTTGAATCAGTTATCTTACTTAATAAGAATCAGAATCTTTTATGTTATGGTCGGTAATAAATGTCATTCTTTTTTAAATAATTGTATAGTTTTTTTTTTAAGTAAAGCATAAATTAAATTACACATACTTTTGAATTCTGTGAAAATTACCAAAATATCCCTTTTCTTTTTTTGGGAAAAGTTCATGTATATTTTGAAAATAGAGCTAAATTATATTTATTTTTAGCACAACTCAGTAATTGATATAACCTTTTGAAGGAAAAAAAAAAGAATTTGGATATTTTGAATTGTTTTTAATGTTTTGGATAGAACTAACTAGCTAGAAAAAAAAATTGAATGAAAAACAAGAACATTGTTTTTAATGCTGTGGAAATTTTACAAGGGAACACTTTAAAAAGTATAATCCTTACATTTGTACGTAAAAGCAATGGCTTTGCAAAAGTTTGCTTTTGAGGTCAAGAAGCACGTAGTGTGTGTGTGTAGAGGAAAGGGATTTTCATTTTGGTTATTGGGCAATTTAACCTTTAGATTATAGGTTTAAAAGTATTTAAGATTCTAAATTTAATTTTTTTAACAATATTTTCTCTTAACTTTTGAGAGCAATGCAATGTAGTTCCTATCATTAACAAAAGTTAACTTTAACTGTTAATTTACTAATAAAAATTAACAAAAAATTAGTATGAAGATTACAAAAAAAATGACAAAATTATGAAAAAAAAAACCTAAAAATTATAAAAAAGAATTAAAAAATTATAGAAAATGATCAAGAAAATTTTTTGATCTTTTTTAGTCATTTTATGGTCAACTAACGATCAAAGTTAACTTCTTATTAACGGTAAGAGTTATTTTGAATTATTTTCTAAAGTTGAAGGGGAATATTGCAAATAAAAAAAAAGAATTTAAGATCACAGATACTTCTAGATCTAATTTATTATTTAGGGGCCAATTTGCTCTTTTATCCTTTTCATTACATATGAATGGTTATTTAAATTAGAACACTTTGGGATTCAAATCCCCATTAAGAAAGGTTCTCAAATTTAATATCTGTCCATACATCAAGTAAAGTTGCCTTCAATAGAAAATTACCTGTGAGCAATGAAAGAAATTAGAACACTCTAGTTATAAAACATTAACTGTGTCTGAATGATTCTATTAAAATATTAGTTAATGTTTTATATGTTTTAGAACTTTGATGAGGATCACAAACCTAAGAAGGGCAAATTGCTTTCTGCTGGTATTTTTGTTTTGGGCCACTTGTAGTGTTGGAGGAGCAGTGTTGTTGGTGGGTGGACTGTACAGTGTATTGTGGGGGAAGAACAGAGAGTGTCCCAAGCAAGAAAGCCACCATCAAGACGAAGAGCACACAACAACTCATTCCAAATTAGAGGATACCACATTGGAATGCATTATTCAGCACTAATACGTGCATGGAACAAAATTTAGGAAGAGAAAAAAAATAATCAATCACTATTATTTACAACTTGTTGTGTATATTTGTTTGTTGCGGATATCATATTTAATATTAAATAATAATAAGGTCTTGGCTTCTCTTTTTTGTTTGCATATTTGTAAGTTTTGACGTATGTTCATCAATTACACCCATTTGTGTTTTAAAAGCATAATAAGAGCGAGAAGTAGATTGAATAAATTATGTAGGTCTCAAAGAAAGGAGGCTTATTATTATTATTATCTTATTATATTTTTTTTTTGTTCCTTGAATTAGAAGATTTTATATAGTATGTTTACCTCTTGTCCAACTTAATGGTGATTCGTTTTTTTTTTTTTTTGGTAAGACATCATTTCTATTTCTATTTTATGCCTTCTACCTTTGAAATATTAAGAAAATTCTTTCTGTTAGCATTTACATTGATGGATTTAGATTTGAAATATTGTATTTCAAATTTTACATTTAAAATCAATGTGTTTAAAAATTTTTATTTGGATAGTTCAAAAAATTTTCAATGAAGAAAACAGATAAGTTGATATTTGAAACAAAAATGAAAAATTAAAAGTGACAAATTTGTCACTATTTTTTAATTGATCAAAAATGAAAAAGAGATGTGAGAAAAAGATACAATAACTATAGAGGTATCAATAGTAAAAATACAAAAAGGATGAGATGCTTGAAATAATTTAAATTTTGAATGATTAAAATGTAAAAAGAATTTGAAATTATAAAAAAATTTATAATAATAAATAGATTTAGATTTAAATTAAATATAAACTAATCAAATTTTGTACATAGAGATGAGTGATTTGGACTAAATTCAAATCCAAATTCTTATTAATCCAAACACATCATCACTTGCAACTCTCTTGGAGAAGCAACCAACGTATGACAGTCAATATTCGACTGCAATGCATGGGATGCCATCTAGTGATACATATCTATGTTGACAAATAAACCTCCAAGTCAAGCCGTGTTATTATTTCTTTCAGCCCCTTGTTATTCAGCTTACGGATAATTGGAAGCGAATCTCTCTCCACTATAGCTCTACGAATAAGCGCAGGTTCAATCAAATTAGGAGTCCATTTAAAAGTGCCCATAATTCAACTTGTTCAACAGTAGTAATTGATCAATTCCCAATTGTTATATATATATATATATATATATAGCAGAAGCCTACAATCCATTGACCTTGTGTGTCTACCCTGCTTGCGCACTTCTTCCATTCACAGCCCTGCCCATGCTCACCTTAATCCAACCCTATTGTGGTGCTTATTCAGAAAGGCTTTCATGTGTATTTGCACTAACACATCATCTAGAATCATGTGGGGGGGGGGGTTTTTTTAATACATAAAATAACTTCTATGGAGATTAAGCGTCGCCTTGTCGTATGCATCGTCAAGGATAAAAATGACTTAGCTTCCCTCTATTTCATAAAATATAAGTAGAGGGTGTCAACACATGCATGCCTTAATTGGCTCCATCATACACCCCACACACTTATATAGAGCTGGTAATATGAGTTGGGCTTGTTAATTGGCTAGAAAATTTGTAAGTTAATGAAAGGGTAATTTAATAATAATTTGCTAAAGTTATTAGGCTAACATCATTCTTGGACAACAAATGAGCCAATTAGACGTGTGAACAGCCTTGAATTTGGGCTAGAAGGTGTGTTGGGCTATTGTGAGCCCAAGTAGGGAGGAAAAAAATATAGATTGAGCTTTTTGTACCATCAAGCAATGGATGACATGAAATATGATTAAATCAGATCACACATGAATTGTGATGGATTTAAGGGGGGGCAACAAGGGCTATGACGCCCCCACACCCCAAATTTTTTTAAAAAATAAATATAATTTTGTTTATAAAAATTGTAAAAAATTACTATTAGCTTCCCACATTTTAGATAAAATTTAAGTTATGGCTCTCGAGACTTAGAAAAAATTTCAATTTTGGCTCCCCCATGTGATGAATTATGGATTCATCCCTACACATGAGATGGAAACAAAAGGAAGAAAACAATGGAAATAGAAGAGCAAGTGAAGGGCTTTGCTAGGGTATCCCATTTTCAAAGCTTGGAAGTGAATTTGAGCTACAAATCATCAAGGTAACCCTTTTATTTCATCCTCCTTCTCTTTGTAAGAATTTTCATCTAGGGTTTAGAATGGGGGAAGATGATTTTGATTATCACAAGGTTCCGAACCCATTGGTCTTAATGGGACTAATAAAAGTTGTTTTAAATTTTTAAATGTAAGTTAAGTGAATTTATACAGTCATGTGTGATTGAGTTCTCAATTTTGAGAAAACCCTAGGTATAAAAGGTGTTGATCTAAATTGTTGGGAGTTAGATAATAATGCTAACTAAGCTAAAATGAGTTTGTAACATATTGGATTTTTAAACCTTGGGTTAAGTGAACTAATTAAGATTAAACAAGTAAAATTGAGTATTAAATTAGTCTAAGAATGGAATTTGGAATGGCTGATGGGCCTATTAAATTTAATTTCAACCTTTGGAATAGCTTTAGAGGTGTTTTGGGTCATTTGGGCTCAAAATAGAAAAACAAATTTGGGCTGGCCATTTTGTCCCATCTACCATATGGAGGCACTATGCACCACAACGGATGGGTAAAAAATTTAAATTTTGCATCTTGCAAATACAAAATGCAGAACTTATTAGTTGAGGAATTGAGTTTGTGGTTATTATGAAATTTGGTTATTAAAGTGTAAAATTAGAAGTTGGATGTGTTGTCTTTGATGATTATTAGTAATGGTAGTTGATGTTAATTATAGACTAACATCACAAAGTACTAAGGAGTTTGATTTTAGCATGGAAGCAAGCTATATTTGGGGGGTAACTTTTGAGTTCTTAAAGGTTTGAGATAACTGGAGGACTCTGTTGCGTGTTATTACTTATTAATTAATCATAGGTGTCTATGAACTTTGAAAATATTTTTTATATATCTAAATGTATGTATGTTGTTTTAGTTTTAAAAATATGTAAGTGGGGTTTTATACATTAATGTAACTGTGAAATGTGGAAAAAGAGGATTTCAACTCTTGAATTTGGTAAATTTTGATCAATATGACCATGATGACAATAACATTGTGATATGATATATGATTTAATGGTGAGAGTTCACCTTAGTATTGATTCATGTTCAAGTGGATCACACTAACATTGCGAGGCTTTGGTGTTTGGTTTAAACTCCACCTAATGAAATTGATAATAGGGCTTACCTTTAAATTCTAACTGGTGAAGTTGGTAATAGGATCTTGTGGCACCCTTGTGTTTCAAGATGGAGGAATCCATAGTTCGAGATTGACTGTGGGGCCTTGGCTAGGTTACCCCTCATGATTGGAAAATTTGGACTAACCCAATAATATAAGTTTAGCTCCTATTCATTTTCTAACCCTATGGATTCAGTCAACAGTGATGGAAGTTGGGAGTAAATGGTTGATGATGCATTGCATTGAAATGTGATTAATGATGTTGTGTTGTTTTCTTCTTGCCCACTTTGTTGCCTATTGTCATTTGACTTGCATGAGCATATTTTAGACTACTTTGATTATTGAGTAGTTATATTTACCTCACATTTAACATTTTATAGGAACTAACTCCAGTTAAGATAAGGGGAAGACTCCTAAAGCTTAGGAACTAGTTTTCCTACTATAATGCCTCATGTTTATTTTGATTTATGTGTAATTAATATTAATATAGCCAAAGCATGATTATTTTGGTTACTTGCATCATTGCATGCATTTATGGTTGATTGTTAGTACCTTGTGCCCTAAGTCAGGTTGTATGGGTTAATCATGTTTAATTAGGGCTAAAATACTAGTGCAAGAATGTTATGGTCATTTTGAAAGTTATAAATGATGATTCAAATGATTTGGATGATGATCACCTCCTCCTTGCTTTTCCATGAAAATGAGGTTGAGAAGTGAAATTGAGTTTTGAATTGTATTTATATGTTGTGGTGTGTTACATTGGTTGTCCTAGGTCCTTTGAGTTTGGTCTAGGTGATTGTGAGAGCTTTTGACACTTGGATTAAGTTTCAAGCACTTTGTTTATGTGAAAGTATGAAAATGTGACAAATTGGTGTTTTGGTGTCCACTACTTTGGTTTGATGTAAATTATGAAATGAAACTAGTGCCATTTAAATGGTTTTATAAACACTACTACAAAAATAGAAATTAGTAGCAAGAATTTTGTAGCAATAAAAAACAAAACGCTACTAACATTAAATTCAAAGACCTTTGATGGCGTTTCTTGTATCAAATGCCACCGATTATAAATTACTATTTTTATTCATAATTTTAGTATATAATAATAGGTAGTGTTTTTTTTTTGAAAGAAAGGCCATAGCTTTTAGTAAATAACATTATTAGTAGCATTTCAATAATAAAACACCACCTTTCTAATTTGCCCTTCATTAAATATTTTTTTAGATTATATAATAATTTTAATATAATTATTTAAGTATCATTAATAATAAATATATATTTTCAATTAATTAATTAAAATTAGAGAGATGGCATTTCAAACATTTGAAAATGCTACATGTCTATTTCATTACAAAAAAGATATTTTAATTAATAAATTAAAATAAGAGAGGTGGCATTTCAAATCTTTAAAATACCACATCTATATATCTCTATTTTTATCATATTAAAATATTATTATATTGTAATTTAATTAATTAGTATATGCAATTGATCATATATTGATTATTTCATAAATAATGATAGAGAGGTGGTGTTTTTAACCGCCACCTGTCTAACTTTTATTCATTATATAATACATTAACATATTAAAAATAATATATCCTAATATTATTTATTTAAAGTTATTTGTGAAATAATATTTGTAGTTAATAAATTTTATAAAATTAGATAATTATTATGATGCTATTTAATTAATCATTAATTAACATGTTATTAGATATTTAATTAGTTTAATATTAATTAATATATTATATTATTTATAATTATAAAAAAATTTAATCAAATAAAGAGAGGTGGAGTTTTCAGCTATTTTAAATGCCACCTCTCTTGATATTTAAAATATTTATTATATTTTTATAATTGTATATATTTATTTTATTTAA